ATTCTTTTACTTAATGCAAACTCTTACGACAATAAGTGTCTCTTAATGCTTTACCATGTACGTTTGATAAGGAAGTTAACACAGCTACTTGCTGTAGTATTCTCTAATTCTAAATTAGCAATATAATGGATAATCTTAAACTTATTCTAGCTAATATTAACAAAACTACAATGGGATGACACAACTTATTAAATATTCCATTTGCAGTTGGTGACCACTCAAAGATCACATCCCACCAGTGATGATCCGCATTTTGTTTTATTCTCTGTAGAATTCTGGTTATTTCTTTTGTATCATTTTGGACAGTAATTAAGGTTTTCTTTCGGCTTTCTTGGATTTCTTTCAAGATCTCCAGTAGGTCTTGGTGCTTAATTAATTGTTTTACTAATGTAAGGTCCATCTCAATAGGGGTAGGTGATAGTCTGTGATACATTGTATAATTGGTTTTAATCAACTGGTGGGATGTCTCTGGGGCTAAATACGAAAAATCACACCCGATAATCTTAACAAAATTACAAATACAGAAATTAGAATGATTTCTATTAGACAAAATAACATCGTTGCTATCAATTTTTACAGCAGCACAGGCAGTTCTCAGGCACACACACACTCTTTTCCAGTATATACGAGCACAGTTTTCCGGTCAGTGACTGGATGAACTTCGAAGTGGTAAATACTTTGTTCAGTGTCTAGACACACATCTCGGGCATTAATAGTATTGCTTTCACAAATGAATTCCAGCTGTTCTCTAGTAATGCAGGATTCTAAGTTTACTGTTTGCCACTTTTCATTCACTTTTCGTGCTCACATTCTATGTTCTGAAGGGTAGAGCACTGTTTTTTCATTATTTAATCCTAGTGCAATGATGGGGAGGATAATGTAAACAGTGGCATTATGTATGGTAAGCACAAAGGCAGTGGCCACATTAGAAGGTGAAATTTACTATAGTCTACTAGGATTGAAACTTCTTTTCAAAATCAATCGCATTATTCCAAACAATTTTCCAAATTTCAGCTGGAAAATTACTTTCACCCCCTTCCCGTATGATCAGAACTGCTGTTGCTTGCATCTATAACTGTGCTTGTATACAACTGAAAGCTAAAGACACATTATCTTGAACTGTACTAAGTGCTTCTACTATTAACTTGTGGTCTTGGTCTCCAGCCTTCTGTGCAGAGGTACCTGTTGGTAAGGGTCTAGACTCTATTACCTCTCTGCAGGTAATCACTGTGTACTTAGCATGTTGCTTTCCACTGGCAATGTAGCTTCTCTAGTCAGTGAACTAGGTCTCTGCATTGTCCAGAGGAGTGTCTTTCAAGTCTGGGCATCTGGAGTAGGTAGCTTCAATGGTCTCCAGGCAATTGTGGTGAACTGCTTCTCTCTGATTCCACCGAGAAAAGAAGCCGGGTTGACAATATTAGTCACTACTATCTCTACATCATCTTGCTCTACCATGATGGCCTGGTATTTCAGGAACCTCTGTGGTGCGAGCCAGTGGCTGCTCTTTACTGCTAGTACTGTAGACACTGTGTGGGACACTAACACAGTCATTTTTTGTCCCAGGGTAAACTTGCGTGCTTCTTGAATATTCAGCATAACTGCTGCTACAGCTCTGAGGCAACTTGGCTATCTTTTGGCTGTTGCATCTAGTTGCTTGGAGAAGTAAGCAACTCCCCTCTGGTATGGACTCAAGTCCTGAGCTAGTATTCTTAGGGCAATTCCTTGTCTTTCATGGGAAAATAAAGAAAATGGTTTACTTACATCTGGAAGTCTCAAAGCTGGAGCTGACATGAGGGCACTCTTTAGCTGGTGAAAGGCCTGTGTGGCTTCTTTGTCCGCTGGAGATTTCTGTTTCCATTGGCAATAAGAGCATAGAGGGGTCTGATGAGCAATCTATAATTAAAAACTTACAGCTGGCACCACCATGCCATGCCTAAAAAGGTTCCGAGTTCTTTTATTGTCTGGGGTTTCGGGGTTTGGAATATGGCTTCCCTGCTCTAAAGTCTGTTGCCTAGCACTCACTTTGTACCCCAGGTAGATTACTTTCTGTTTCACTACCTGTGCTTTTTTCTTTGATACTCTGTATCTTTGGAGTCCTAGGAAATTCAAAAGGCTTACCGTCCAGGCCACACATGCTTTTTTCTCCTGAGTGGCTACTAGAAGATCATCCACATACTGCAACAGCCTCTCTTCTTCTTGTGGAGCTTCCCAGGACTCTGGATCTTTGCAAGTTGTTCTCTAATCAGAGTGGGGGAATTTTTGAAGCCTTCAGGCACATGGACCATGTGAGTTGTGTTTTGCACTGCTTCTAGGGCTTTCTCATTTGAATGCAAAAATTTTCTGTCTGGCTTCATGGATAGGGAGGCAAAAGAAGGCATCTCTCAGGTCTAAAACAGTAAACCAGGTTAGCTCAGGTGTTAAACAAGTTAGTAAAGTATATGGATTTGCTACCACAGGGTATAAATTCTTTGTTATCTTATTGACAGCCCTCAATCCAGTACTATCCATAATTGGGCTGATTTCTTCCTTATCTTCTTTTTGAGGGTGTACTGCTCAATTCTCACTGGTTGTGTTCCTTCCTTAAGCTTGATTACTATGGGGGGGCATTTTTCACCCTCCCTGGTACAGCAGAGGCCCATACCTTCAAAAATACTTATTTACTTATTCTAATATCTCTTTACTAATGTCCTTCCTAATTTCAATGGCTGTTAGTGTTAAGGCTAACATCGTTATATCATTTGCCTCCAGAGTAACTTCTTCATTTGAGAATGTTTAGCGAATTGAACATATACAAAAGCTTCTAAGTACCCATGTTACTTTAAAGGTTTTCAAAGGTATGTCTTCTCAGACTGGCTAGTTGTTCCCCACACTACAACATAAACATTCTCCACAGGTACTAAAGCTTTATTTAAAATTGAATATATGGCCCCTGTATCAACTAAAATTCCACCCTTTTCTTTCTTCTGGTCTCACTGCCTCTCACAGAGGGGTCTGTTACCTCTTAGTACTGGATGAAATTGGACTGCCAGGAGGGGGATGGGTGCGAATGGGTATACCTTTGGAGCCTGAGTCCTCTTCCCTTTTGGGGAGGTCATCTTTATCTTTCTTCCTTTACCTTAGGAGGAGCCTTTAACAAATCATATGTACTCCTTTTGCGAACTGTAATTGCTTTGCGTTTCAGCAGGATAATCTTTGACTTCATACATTGCTATCTTATGCTGCATGCTGAACAACACGTCTGATTTGCCTTCTCTTTGCCTTGTTTTCCTTTTCAAGGGCCAAGACCAGTGGATCCGAGGGCAGTCTGATCTCACAGTCCCTTTGCCATTCTTGATGATTTCTTAAAACAAAAAAACATATCAGCATACAAAACCTCATCCCATTTACCTTCCCATCTTAAAAACAGCATTAACTGCAATGAGGTATTATAAATCTTTTTGTTTTCTGAGCCGCCCCTACTGGCAGCCTTGTCCCAGTGAGCCCCTCCCAAAAGGGGATAGTTCAGGAACCTCTTTGCTCTGGTTAGTTCTCATTATCTCCTTCCCTTTATGCTATCTTGTTTCTCCCCAAGCCTCGCAGTTTCTTTTCTCAATTTTTCCTCACACACAGATCTCCAGGTGGCAGGTATCAGATGTGATTCTCCACACACAAGCTTTAAGATCTCAGGTTCTGAATTGGCTTGATCAGGAACCTTTAATTTACACTTAAGACACAGAACAGCAATACCAGGGCCTCTCGCAAACTCTGCATTGCATATAAGGTGCCAGCCTCTCAATGCACCAAAAACTCCCAGGAATTGCCTGCAGGCTATCCTGTTTATTACTTCGGCGTTTATCACTTAACCTCTACGGCAGGTTGTTCTCCGTCTAAGCTTACTATAATACCTACTGAAGTCCCATAAACTCATTCATCTCTTCTATCTAAACTCTTTTTTACAAAATGTCAGTCTTTTCTAGTTCTCTTCTTGCACAATCTAATAAAGCATTGTTTCTACTTACACTCACTTTACTGCCTTGCAAAAGGCTGTGCTTGTTACAGCAAAAACTCTGATATGCCCACAAACACAGACACACACACACACACACACCCCTTATCTCAAATTCACTAGAGCCAGGGCTTGAATTGCTGGGGGGGGGGGGGGGGGGGGGGAATTCTTGGAATTCCTTTAATTCGCTTTACCACAGTTAAACATAAATCACCATACCATAGTTCTTCTGTGTAAAATGCTACACTTGTTGCAAACAAAATCCTAAAATCTCCACAAACACCACTATACAATCCGAGAATCAAATTACTACAATGCGATGGAAGAAAATCACCACACAAAATCCCTGGGAAAGGGCATATCTCTCAAAGTGCCCACTTTTCTCAACACAACACAGCATACAATAATTCAGCATTTACCCACATCAGCTTTCTCTGGACACAATCAAAATAACAGCACACAGTAAAATTCCAGAGATCAAGTCCAAACTACCAGGGCAAAGGAACTCTCTGAGCTCGTACTCACGGTTAAAATGTGCCAAATCTACACAAATCACATTTAAACACAATAAATACCCCCACTGACGTTTCTCCACTTGTTCCACTTCTCCGCAGGGTGCTCCCTGCCCCCACAGCCTGCCTCAGCCGGCACCTCAAGCCTCACCCGGACGCTTCAAACAGGGGTAGAACTCACCCCCCCTGCGCCATGGGTGAACTCACTTGTTCGCTCTCCCTTTCATACGCCACACACTTGCACGATTACAAACACATTAACATTAACTACACAATGCATTATTCATACAATTATACAGTGTCCGGACACCACACACACACAGGTTCACTCGACCCACCCCCAGGGTCGCTAGTGGTCTGCTCTATCAGACAGTGAATCCCGTCTCCCAGTCACTCTATCAACTGGTCTGCCTGCAGGTACAGGAATGTCTCACTCAGACATCTCTGAGCGACTTACTCAGCTGTCCTATCCCTCTTTCCCCTGGGGGTCCCTCAATACATACCGTATCTTCCACACGCCAGGAGGTCCTTGTCTGTCCTCGCAGGGGGCAAGCTGAGAGGAGCGGAGCTCCTCCAGGAAAATCTCGGGGCACGCCTTGGAGGTCCGTCTATCCCCTCTGCCCCTGCGGGGACAGAGATGTCCATTCGTGGTCACCAAAATGTTTTGCGGAGATAGCCAAAAACTCCACAAATCTGTGAAAGTTGTAAAGCCAGTATGTTCATTATTACAGGGCTGGACACATGTGGAGATTACTCTCCTTAAAAGACATGCGTACCTCTGGGAACTTCAGGTCCCTTTTTATCTCTCTCTCAAATACATATGCATACAATTTCACAATAGGTTCACACATATTCATTTTTACGAATTTTGCGTGACATTTGCTGCTAGTTCTTCTTTATCAGAAAGAATTCCTAGGTCAGGTTGACCTGCTCTCACAGCAGTCTCTCTGTATCTCTCTATCACCTTCTGTCTTCCTCCCCTTATCTCTGTCCTTCATTGAAGCAGTTTCTCTTGAGCCTAGGCCTTGCAGTCAGGCTACACAGACTTAAAGATGTACATTTCACTTAAATCAAAATGGATTTCTACTCTGGAGAATTTCTACTTTGTCTCACAGGTTGCAATAGAGTTCATCATGTCCAGGGAGGGTGCAGCTGCCAGTGCTGGGCATGGGAACAAACGAGACAGGTCTTCGTTTCATAAAGCTCCAGAATCCATTTATTACCCCTGGGGAGGAGGGGTGGGACGAAGATGAAAGACCGGGCAAAGGCAGGGTTCATGGGGTTTTTATTGGGTTTCGCAGGCGTGGAGTTAGGGTTTGGGTCAAGGGAGGAGTTATTAGCAACATAAGGAGGGTATAATCAAATTCCCGCCTCTTAGGAACAGGAGCACTCCACAACTCCCCCATTTTTAAATTGATCAATGTATGTTGAATAGCTTAGAATAAGGGGATTCTCGGGAATATGACTTAATAGTTTACAAAACCAAAATGAAAATTATTAAGCTAAATTAACAAGGAATAGAAAAGCATTTGAGACTTAATCACCAAGGATATAGTAACAGAAATGATGATGCTTTATTAAATGAATACATTTTACTTAATGAGTTAATAGTTCAATCTCCTCTGGCTTTTGATCTTCTCACCAGCAGGGGTGCAGTTCTTTGATCACCTTTTCACAAGAGACACAGTCCTTAGTGTTCAGTCTCAGTTTTGGCACTGGTGTTATGGATGTTGTTATTTTGGATGATGATGACTGCAAAGCAAGAGAAGCGGTGAGGGCCCCAGGCGTAGGGCTTGGAGCAGGGCCAGCTCCAGGGGCTGGCTTCTCCCTGGGCCAAGCAGCCCTGCCATGCAGGCCTGGGGTGGGGCCAGCTGCAGCCGTACAGCAAGAAGGGAGGGAAGTAAGTAGGGGGGAAGGGGAGGTTTGGGACCAGAAAATAAGAACTTGGACAGGAAAAGGGGGAATCTTAAACAGCGTGGTAAGCACCATTTTTAGAAGGAGAGCTCAGGACAGGGCAGCCATCACCTTCCCGGGTAGGGAACAGGGGGATATGGAAAGACAGGGAGTAAAGGACACAGGACAGTGAGAGGACAGTAGCGCTCCTGCATCACTTCTGGATGGATTCTGACCCTTGTTCTGCCTTCAGGAAAAGGGGTATAGGGTGGTGGAGAGGAACAGGGGGTGACAGAGAGACGGTAGCAACTCCATGCTATCCTGGCAGTTGTCACTCCTTGCTGCTCTCTTAGGAACAAAAGGGTAAGGAAAGACATGGGCAGCTTCACAAAAACTGAAAAACGTTGGGGTTTACAGGAGGGGGGACCACTGATCTAGGGCCATGACACACTGCATGCAATCATCCATAACCATGCATAAGTAGCCTCCAGGGCTTTAATGTCCATAAGCTGCAGCAGACATGTCGGGAAAGTTGACAAGAGTCCATAGAATGGTCCTTTTTGCAGGCAGACTAGCCACTTGTAGCACTTAAAAACTCCCTCCCATAAAAAATGAGAAAAATTAACCATTCATAAATGTCTTGCTGAGTGATGGTAGATGTCAGTCCCGTTGCCCGGTCACAGTAAGCTGGTCTCCTTACTGGGAATTCCGCTCCCCCCATGTTTTTAAGGTCACTCTCAACTTGGCCTCTCGCCATGGTACTCTTGAGTCCTCCTTTTTAAGATGGGGGTCCCACAAGGTGTAACCATCAGCGGGTGACTTACGGGGTGCCAGTTGTGCTGTTCTCACTGGTTGCCTGCATTCTCCGCCATTTGTTGCATTGCGTTGCAACACAGTTCATCGTATCCAGGGAGGGTGCAGCTGCCGGTGCTGGTCATGGGAACAAACGAGACGGGTCTTCATTTCATAAAGCTCCAGAATCCATTTATTAGCCCCGGGAAGGAGGGGTGGGACAAAGATGAAAGACCAGGCAAAGGCAGGGTCATGAGGTTTTTATTGGGTATTGCAGGGGTGGAGTTAGGGTTTGGGTCAAGGGAGGAGTTATTAGCAACATAAGGAGGGTACAATCAAATTCCCGCCTCTTAGGAACAGGAGCACTCCACAAGCACTGAAGTGAGACTTCCAAGCCTATAGTTTCCAGGGTCCTTTTTCTTGCCCTTCTTGAAAATCTGGACAGTGTTTGCCATCTTCCAGTCAGCTAGGACCTCTGCAGATTCCTAAGACTCCTGATAGCCTAGTAGGGTTTCGAGATTGCATCAGCCATCTCTTTGAGGATTCTTGGATGAATCCCATCAGTCCCCATAGATTTGTCAGGATCCAGCTGGAGCAGCAGATCTCGTAGTTTCAGGATTGACTGGGAGTTGTTCATTCTCTCAGTCATGGTCCTGCAGCTCAAGGTACCGAGACCCCCTTGGTACAGGACATAGAGCCTCAATACCTGAGATAACATGTCTTAAAAGCAGCTCAGTTAGGAACCAGTAAATTAGATGTCACTTTGAAAACTGTCCAAGAACGGATGTTATTGGGTAATTGCAATCAAGGGAGTTTAATTGGCTGGAGAAGTTATCACTTAGCAATGTGATCCTTCAGGGCTGCTGTTGGTCCTCACTGTCAGAGTAAACTGGTGATGTCCAATCTCAGTGGGGATTTAAGCTCATCTTTTTTACTTTTATGGCAACAGACAGGGAGCACTCACACTGTGTTACTTGTCTGTGGGCTGAGGGACAGTTTGATTATTAATGTTGATAATCATGTTTTAATCCCAAGTGGAGAGAAGATGAAAGACTAAATGAAGGGGCCAATTGACTCGGTTGTTGGGGTTTTATTCCTGCTACTGGTCCCATCTCAGATTCATAATAAATTACTCACACACCCCCATCTTTTTTAGCACACAAGAAAAAGGTCTTTAGTATTAATAAGAACTTAGTGACCTCTAGGTAAATGGTATATTAGCAAGTAAAAGGCAAAGCATATTGGTTTGAGCACTGCTGTTTCCAATTAAGCCATCATCTGTGTGTGTAATAGCAGCATGTCTTTCACAAGTATCACATAAGCCTCTCCTCTGATTTGGAATGGAGACACTATAAACACCATGACATGGATGAGGTTCACCGGAACTCCTGGGCAGGGTCTGAATCCATCGCTGAAGAAGTACAGGTTGATCCACGGAAATACTCACAAAGCAGCTTGCCGAGGTTCTTGGAGCTATCCTGCTCATCCATGGAACAAGTATTTAATGCCAATTGTGGGAAATCATGTGATTACAAAGCAGGGTCACCTTCCTATTTGGACAAATTGCTAGGGAGAGACAATAAGCACCATCATTACTCAGATCCCAAGCTAATTTTAGATTTATCCCACTGGAAAAGAGCAACCATAGCACCTGCAGCTGAGCTATCACTGGAAAAAGAACCATCCAACCTCTTACTGGAGACTGCTCAGTGGGTGAAGAGTATGCAGATGGGTCTGAGTGTCCCAGCTCTCTTACAGAGATTCAAGAGCAAAGTCTGCCATCTTTTCCACACCATCTCCACAAAGAACCCACAGAGGTGAACAGTGAAACAGACCCTGAGTTTGACTTGGACATCTTCATCTCCAGGGCACTTAAACTTTGCACAAAACCTGAGAATCTTCTAGACAACAAGCTCAATGACATCAACAGGGCCTGCATATCTGAGCACTCTGGTGAGATTTTACAAACAGAGGTGTACCAGAAAGAGTGATGGTGAGGATCCCACATCTGGGAAACCCTGCTGTATCTCCCCTATCCTCTCTAATGGTGTGGCCATTGCCTGGGGCTAAATGGCTTCTGTGTATCATTGAGCATCTGTTATTTACACTGTACCGAATGCCTTTTTTGGAAAAGGTAAGCACAAACCACATGCCCCTTTTGAAGCCTTAGAAATACATTTAAGGGAATCAAGAGGTGTGGATGAAATACTGAGTACAGTGTCATGGTTTGACACTGGCCCAATGTCAGGCACCCACGAGAGTCACTCACCCACCCTCCCCTGCCACAGCTGGGCACAGAAGGGAAAAGAAAATAACTAAACACTTCATGAGTGAGATAAAGACCAGGAGAAACATTTCAAGGGCAAAATAGGCTCAAATTGCAAAGTGAAATTTATTACTAACAGAATCAGAGGAGGATAATGAGAAGTAAAATCAGCCCTTAAAACACCTTATCCCCCCAGCCCCTCCCTCCTTCCCACTGACAGCACAGGGAGACAGGGCATGGGGGTTTTGGTCAGTTCATCACCGAGATTTTCTTCCACTGCTCCAGGAGAGGAGCCCTTCCCCTGTGAGGCCATGGGGTCCCTCCCACGGGAGACAGTTCTCTGTGAACTTCTCTGGTGTGGGTCCACTCACCACACCTGCTGTAACATGAACTCCCCCCACAGGCAGACAATCCTCCCAGAACTTCTGCAACATGGGTCTCTTTCCACGGGATGCAGTCCTCTGAGGACAGGTTGCCTCAGCTTGGAAGCAGGAGCCCCCTCTCTCCACTGGGTCTTCCACTGGATCACAGCCTCCTCCAGGCATCTACCCACTCCAGCATGGGCACCTCCCCCACGGGCTGCAGGTGGGTCTCTGCATCCCCCGTGGACCCATCCCACCCAGGGGGACAGCCTACTTCACCATGGTCTTCACCACAACCTGCAGAGGAATCTCAACTCTGGTGCTTGGAGCACCTCCTCCCCCTCCTTCTCCACTGACCTTGGTGTCGCCATGTTGTTTTCCCTCACACATTCTTACCTCCTCCTGTGGAAGGGGCTCATAGCTGGTCTGTGAATCAGAAAGAGAGGAGCTTCTCGGGGTTTCTGTTGTTGAGATGACCCCAAGGTGTTAGAAAGTCTCTTTTTCCCAGCCCCGAGATTGGAGAAGGAGCCAGGATTCTTCGGCTGTGATTGTCAGGATTGTTTATTCTTTGTTATCTATAACATTCTTTTCCTGATCTGCTGAGGTCTGTCTACCAAGTCGGTCTGTGGCACGCTGACCGCCCCAGAGGCGGTGTTATCTTTTATATTAAAAACTACATGTACATCTACATGTACATTATTTACAATAATTTTCCAATGCCTATCGCCTATGTTAGACAGTTTATTTCTACTTTAAACCAATCCAAAAGTGCCACCATCACCCAGAAGATGGAGGCTAGGAAGAAGAAAGAAGGACAAGGCATGCCCAAATCCCTCCATCTTGGCTTCTGAACCCCCATTCTAAAAACCCAAAATTCTACTTTTCTATCTTCTAACAAACTAACTATCATTCTACTTAAACTCTCATGGCTTGTAAATCTTCATATAAAGTTGGTAATTTTTTCCATGGGTTAAAATCAAAGGCACAGGTGTTTTTGGCTTTGTGCCAAGGTCTCTGAGCCCCCTGGCAGAGGCTCAAGCCATCCAAGGCACTCAGAGGGATGTCCTGGGTTCCAACAGGAGCTGATAAAAGTCACCTTTGCTCCTGAAAGGAGCTTTACCAAGGCCGTCAGCATGGAAACAAACGAGGGAGAGAGATAAACGAGTGGCCTGTAGTAAGGTTTTGGGTGGAAAACAGTGGTGGAGGCCGCCTTGCTGCAATGAATACTATGTTGATTTGTTCTGACCAATGAATATGTATAAACGTTGTGGAAGAGTATAAAAAGACAGCATGCTGTAAAATAAATATAGAGAAGCCTTCTTAAATACAGTGTGTTCTTCTGTTCCTCTGTTTGTTATGACCATCTCAACAACGACATCCTCCTCTTCTCTAACTGCAAGCACAAACTTGTGACTTTTGTTTTGATGTTCTTAAATATATTACCACAGAGATGAAGCTTCCCACCATGTCCAGCAGACCAAACAGCTGATGGCTCTGAAGATGGACATGCTGCTGACCAAAACTGGGCCAATGAGAGAGGTTGGTAACGCCTCTCAAACATGCCACCTCCCAGCATTCTGGGTGGTAAAAGAAAAACATTCACACATGCTGTTTATGGCTGTAGTCATCCCTCTGGTATGCACCTTCCCCAAGAGAACAGAAAGCTTTTATCAAAGTCAAGATAAACATGACAAGACGCTCTTCTACGCTGAGCTTTCAGCAATGTCAGTATGCCCTGAGCAGGCCGAGCAGGCCACTACCTATAATAAACTGTGAGCCAGGACTGTCTGTTCAGGTCTTTCACAGACCAGATAGGAGGATTAGAAGGGAGGTTTGAGTGAGTGATAATACCTTTTTTCCCCAAACATGCTACCACCCTGTCAATGCTCAAGCACATCTGCTTGTATTGTGGCTGCTAGGTTTGTGATATTGGGTACCACAGGTGTTAGAGGGGCCAAATTTCCACAGCAAAAATTTGGCACTGTGATACACTAGCAATCCTTGAATCAGGGAGTGCAGGTGTCGTGCAGAGCAAGCACACTGCAGTCTCTGGATTTCTGTTAGGGTTGATGCTCGAACCAAAGATCCACACGCTACTGCTCAGCAGACACCAGATTCGATCATTAGGAAGATCAAAACCTAGAATGTTTTCATTGTAATCTTTAATTGAAAAATTAGTAGCTGACATCCTGCTTCTCACCCAGGAGCCATAAATTAATCTTAGCAGCTCAGCAGGTAACACTTGCTCCATTTACTCCAGTGATTTTAACTCTTTGCCGCCTGAGTTGCACACCCTACTTCTTGGCATCCTGCTGGGTCAATATGAAATGTTGTGCTCCTGTATCAATTAGAAATTTAATCAATTGTTGACAAGAATCTACTGGAATCTGAATGTATGGGCCGTTATTATGCATGCATTGATAGGATTCTACTTGCTGGATTTCAATCTTGCCTGGCTTGTGGCCATAATGCTTTTGCAAA